GTGACTGATTTAATGCTATGATCTCTCCAGTGCTATGTCTGTGCTCTCTTACTTGGGTAATGCTGTAGCTTCCTCCTGTACCTCTCTCTGTCTGTTCATATTTTCTGTCTAGTTCACAGGTTATACTTTTTCCTCTGGTATTTTGCCGCTGCCTTTCCTTCCTTTTCTCCTTTATTCCTCTGCCTCATCCTTTTAATCTGCTTTAGTGCTTTCTTTTTTTACCTCATTATGTCTTTTTGTTTTTGCCTTCTGCCTCTCCATTGGTTCCTTTTTCACTCAACCTCCTGTTGTGTACGGGCCAACCTACATCCCACCCATCTTCTTGTTTCTCTCTTTTATCTTTCCTCCTTCCCCCCCCTCCTTCTAACCTCCTCTCAACAATAAAAGTTACTCATGGCTTGAGGGGGAAGCATCTGGCCCATGCTGGCTCTCATTCTCTCTCTTTTGTTCTGAATGCTCTTTTGTTATAAATACAACAAACAGAAAAGCACAAAATCAGCTCTCAAGGCAAACACTGCATAATAATCCTCCTTATCCCTGCTTCTCTTATCTCTGAAGAATTTGCTCTCCGGGCAAAATAAGAAGAAACATGAGAAAGGGTTCGCTAAATTTGGAGGCAAAAGAGAGAGACTAGAAAAAGCTTCATCATATGGGGCAGCAAGTTGGGCAGATTTGACAAAGCAGTAGGGCAAAGTGAAATATAGCTTGCCAGGAGCTTGGACAGCACAGTGATGCCCCTGTGGGTGATCAATCCCTGTTAATCAGCCTCTGTTCCCATTAGGTTGTGGAGGCATGGTCAGGATCAAAAATGTTAGTTCGGGGTTTTTTTAGCACCCAATTTTTGGTGCCTTCTCATTTGTGCCTCGAGCCAAGGCCTTGTGTATATGAAACGTGTTTGCCAGAGAACTGTACCTGCTGGACCTCCACTGATGTTCTCAAAAAGCCACAGCAAGGTGATTCTGTGACTTGCCAGCTCCAGTCTCTGAGATAAATCAAAATAAGAACAGGCTTGCCCATTGTTGGGGCTCTTGCTTAATGTTAGATAGGGATTCTCTGACTAAACCAGCTTTCCTCAGAAAATGTAAGCTCCCTGGAAATGAAATGTTAGTTGGCATGCACTAGTTTAGACATGCAAGTGTTCTCAAAGCTAAAAAGAAAAAAGCTTGTTAAGCAGAAGGCAAGCCTTTCCCAATCCCCAAAGCTCTGTGGTTGGGATACTGGTGGTTAATGTGGGGCAGACAGCATCAAGTTCTACCTGGGACCGGTTCTGCCTTGCCCTTTCCTTAGCAATCTTAAGTCTGGCTGTCCACATGCAGTGGGCCTCCATCCTAGCCAGTTAATGCATTTTGCATAATATACGAGTATTATATTCAGGAAAAGTCTGGGTGATTAGTTTTACTTGTGCTGTATCAGATAGCCCTGCTAAGGAGCTGTTAAGGTACTTCCCCCAGAAGTGATCTGTGATGTGGGAGGTAGGTGTGTGTCCTAGGACAGAAACAAAACTGGTATTTAGGAGGAACAGCCTATGATGCAAACTTCAAACGTGAATATTTATGCATCAGCAGACAGGGCAAAACTCACTGAAATGGGGGTTTTTCCCACATTCCTTAGGAAAATTTGGGTTCCAGTGGTGCATTTTGGGCTTGTGTCTCTTTTTTACTACTGTTTACTTTGCCAGCGCTGTAAAATAAAGAAGTACAACCCACTATGTTTTGCATTATGTATTAGAGATTTAATTTTCAGCTGAACTCTTATTGCTTTTAAATTGGACTAGTATGTATTTAATCTAGTCTTGAAGTTTGGATTGCTTAGCACTAGCAACAGATTCACGTGGGTTAAGAATAAACAAGGAATGAGGACATTTCAAAAGAATGCAGTCCAAAAATTGCTTCTAAAATTTGGATATGCTTAGAGCCTCCACGAATATGGCAACTATTCACACTAACTAGTAAATTAATATTTCCTGAGCTAATGCCAAAGTTTGAGACATCTGGGTGATCAGACTCAAAGTGGAGTTTGCTGTGTTAGCAAACAAATGGAAAATAAAGTAGGAAAAGGAAAAACAAGTGTGAGCCAAGATTAGTCAAAGAGGGTTAGGGAATTAGGCTGGACACAGCTCCTTGCTCTCGGGTGCAACCAGTAGCAAGGGTGACCATGTATTCCCTGTAGGCACGTGCATAAAAACACATGTACGCACCACATATGTGCATGTATATACACAGCTGCCACACGGATCTACACAGACACACTGTGCATTTACACAAACACAAGCAGCACCAATGGCCTCATGAAACAAGCCGGATGGAGGTCCAGTAGTGGGAAATATACATATATATATATATATGTATATGTACATATGCAAATATGATAAAGTGGATCCTTCCAGGAGCTGGACTCAGAGAATCTGGCCCCAGATACCAGTCTCCCTGACACTGGCACGAGGCTGCAGCCCCACTCCTGATGGGGATGCACACACACAGACACATGCACTCAGGTGTGTGCATGGCTGGCCAGGACAATCCTGGTCCCTCTAGTAGCCAACCTGCCATGGCCTTGCCCTTAGAGACAAGCAGACACCAGTGGTTCTCACCCCTATAGATCCCCAGACCCCACAGTCTCTCCAGCAGCTGGCTGGGACTGTTCCGGTCTCTCTGATAGGCAGCTCCTCCCTTACAGGCACCCCAGCTCCCAGGCCGCTTCACCTGGTTGCCAGCTATCTGGTTGGATCTTTATTTGTGCTCATACCCTCATCTGTACAGCCATACTTGCTGCACCCTGGGCACATGGGCCCCTGTGACCCGGCACTCAGACCTCCATACACACCACCCCCACCCCCAAATAGAGAGCACCTCACCAAGGAAAAGAGTTAGAAACAGAAATTAACAGGATTGGGCAAACTGTGCTAATCAAGCACAGGACGAGGCTGGACACTTGTGCTGGCCAGCTAAGAGTTTACATGCAACTGTCCCTTTTTTCCCCTCGTCTCTCCTTTTCTCCTCTTTGTTTCCTCCCCGAAACATCCCACACTAAATCCTGTGCAATCCCAAAATTCTCTTCCCCTGCATCCTGTAAGGTGTCTGGTGCCCCTGCACGCAGCACTGCCTCTGCCCCAGTCTAAAAGGTGCTCCAGCTTTAGCTTTGTGATGAGTTTCACACCTGAACAATAGGGCTGATGGCTCTCCTGGGACGGCACCTGGCCCAGGCAGGGTGTCCCTTCCTCTGAGTCCTTAATCTGGGTTGTCACCTGGCATTATGCCCCTGTTTTCCTCCGGGTGTGTGAAAATTGGGCCTTTGATGTGCTAATGGCTCTTCTGATGGGCCTGGGAGTAGCTGGGGCAGGGTCTTAGTTGGGCTCCTCTTCTGCTATTGTCTCTCCATCCCCTTTTGTGGGTGTGAAGAGGAGCTTTTGTCACATAGCCTAAGAAAGAGGACTGTGCAGGCATCCTGTGCCCTTCTACACAACTTTTTCTGCTGGGATTAATATTTTAACAACAACACACAAATACCCATGAGGTACTTACCACATAAATATCCCATGGGTATTTATCAACCTCACTCACCCTTATAAATGCCGTAAAATAAAAGGGTATTTGTGAGGGTGAGTGGGAGAAGGTTTTGACCTGTTGATTTCCAGTTATGTGTGGCCAGGTGACCACGCCAAACAAACAGCAGAAGCGAATTTAAAATGCCATTGTTCCAGTTCCCCAGAATCTTATGACAAAAGTGGTGTCTGGTCTCAAGGTATTTTTTCTAACGATGAAAAAACAGGCTGACAGGTTTCTCCCCCTGTCCTTGCCCTCGTCCCCAGCTCTCAGCTGTTGCCATCTGCTGAAGTCGAAGTCCTTGACAGGTTCTTAATTCAGTGAAGACTTCTCTTGTTTGACAGCAGTTTTGCCTGAGATTCAAAGCACAGCTCTTCATTATTCTCCTTGAAGAGTTTGGTAATTGTTTGACCTGAAGGATGGACAGTAAATTACTATGGAGCACAGTAGCCTAGTTTGATTTAATCACAGGACAGTTTGGGTTAGAAGTGACCTTAAAAATCATCTAGTTCCAATCTCCCTGCCATGGGGAGGGACACCTTCCACTACACCAGGTTGCTCAAAGCCCCATCCAACCTGGCTTTGAACACTTCCAGAGAAGGGGCATCCACAATTCTCTGTGCAATCTGTGCCAGTGCCTAACCACTCTCACAGTAAAGAATTTCTTCTTATTATCTAATCTAAACCTGCCCTCTGTCATTTTGAAGCCATTCCTTCTTGTCCTGTCACTACATGCCCTTGTAAGGAAGGGTGCAAGTCTTAGGCTAAATGCAGCTTCAGCTTTGCCCTCGTAGATTCTAGCATCGTAGGAAAAATATGTTTTTAAAAATAAAAACACGCAACCAACAAAACAAAAAAAAAATCCCCCAAACCCAGCTATCCAGAACTGTGCTTCATGCACAGCTTTGGGAGGAGGGATGAGCACCCACAGAGCACAGCGTTAGACTTCAGGTTTCTGCCCGTGCTGTTTGTGTGGCTGCCTCTCTGCACCGTCACTGCCGGCCTTGCTGCTTTGGCTTATAGACTGAATAATAAATATCTTTATTTTTAAATATAATAAATAAATAAAGATGTCGCTTTGTGTCACGCAGCTGCTTTCGGCGCAAACCAGCGGTATTGTACCAATTAGCCAATGTCTGGGGGTGACATCCAAGGTGTGGCGGGCCCTTGTCCCCGCCGCCCGTGCCTTCTCCCTGCGTCCCTGCGGAGCGGGGAGCGGAGCCGGGGCGCTCCATGGCCACCCCGCCGCCCGGCACGCTCCGCCCGGTGCCACCGCCCGCCCCGCTCCATGACCGCCCAGCCGCCCGGCACGCAAGTTCTCGTCAGAGAGTGGTGCGAGCTCGGAGGGGTGTTTCATGATTTTTTTTTTCTCCTTGAAAACAGAAATGACAGGATGCCCGACAGCCCCTCCCCGCCCCTCCCTCCCACCCTCCCGTGGCGAGCCCATAAATCCGTGCGGGGCGGGCGCGCACCAAGTCTCGGGCGTGGGCGGGTGCGGCGCCGCCTCCTCGCGGGTTCCGTTAGGTGGGGACGGGTGGCCGTTCGCCCGCAGACGTTCTCCGGGAGCCGCCGACCATGGATGACAAAAAGGTGGGCTGGGGAGCGCGGGTTCCCTCTCCTCCTCTTTCCCCTCGCCACTCGGGTACCCGGGCGCTTCGGCGGAGGGCTGGGGAGCGGGGATGCTATCGCGACCGCCGGGCGGCCGGGGTTGGTTGCCGGCTCGGTGGCCGCCGCCGCCGGGTGTCTGTTGATCTCAGTGAAGACGGATGCGGCGGTGGTGCCGGCAGGGCCGCTGCTTGGCCCCTTCGGAGGGTGGCTCGGAATAAGCCCCCATCTGCGGGAGGGGAGACGGGGCGCGGGGGCGGGCACAGTTTGGAACGGGTTGTTGTAGGTCGCAAGATCGATTTGGTTTCATGCGCGTGGCCTGATGATGCACATGATGCTGTCCGGGTTTTAGGGTATTGATCACGAGGTTTGTTTTGCTTGCAGCGCCGCACTCGGTTTGTCCCAGGGTTTAGGATGCTAGAAGGGGGGTTGTTATTAAAGGCATTTTGTTTGGTGGTGGCATGATGTGTAAAGGCATTTTTAAATTTCAAGAAGGCGGCGAAATGTATCTTTCCCCTCTTTCTCCTATGGAGAGCAGGGGACATTTGTCGATATCGTAGTTCATCTGCAGCTGAGAGTGCAGGAGTGGCGTGAGCTCATGATGTGTGTGTTTGAATGTACCAAGGGAGACAGCAAATTCCCAGCGGAACCCGGAGCGGGATGCCGGGGGATTATAGTTAGACGGGAACAGCAGGATTGGGGAAGGACGAGGCCTTGCATCGCCATATTGATGGGAGATGGGGGCAGTGCGAGAGGATGAGGCAGAGAAAAGGGGAGCACCCGGTCAAGGTCGCTCAGAGGAGCTCGGAGAGGCCGCTCCCGCCGGGCTCAACAAGTTGTACAGCTCTGGAGTTCCACTCGGTGACGGAGGGGAGCTGGTCAGGAGCATCTCCTGGATAACGAATGCTGCTGATGCCTGTGGTCGGAGGGAGGGGGGGTGGTGTGAATTCCTTGCTGGTATACAGACCTCAGCCTTGAGCCTTTAGATAGAGTGGGTGGAGCTGTACTATTTCTGAGCTCCCTGTTTGCCTTTTGGGGAGTGAAGCAGTTGCAACAGTAACAAATGATCCATACAGTAGATCACGGCCTGGCTCATTGGAGGGTATGGGTCATGCCACGTGATGGCTAGGCGGTAGGAGGCTGGGTAGGAGACAAATAGCAGGCAACAACCAGGAGAAGGAAGTATGAAGGCCGGCAGAACAACTTATAGCTTATGTATGTGCCATGCAAGTAAGGGGTACCCACAAAGCAAGGTACCGGAAGCAAAAGGCCAGCTGTGGTCATCGCGAGCCATGACAAAGCAGAGTCCTGGGGGAAAGGTGCTCTTGAGTTGAAGATGTGGAGAGCTGGGTTTTTTTGGTCGCAGCTTAACTATACCTACTGACTAGAGATGACCTAGCCTGGGGTCTTAACAGTGCTTAAATATTGTAATGCCTTTTTACAGCATCATTCTGATGCTTTGAAAGAGCTGTGTCCTTGTGGTTCTGTGCCAAATTTTCTCGAGACAAAGATGAGGGGAGAAGTCACAAGGTGCCATGGAGAATGCCTAGACTGCCTAGGGTGTGTTCAGGTGTGAATGCTACCTCGGTGATCATCTGCACCTTGTCCCCTCTGTCTCCATTACTGACCTCAGGAAGAGAACTCAGGCTTGAGACATTTACATGATGTAGGTGGGGGAAATCATGCCTGAGAGTAATTTCCTCAGTTTCTGTTTACTGGGGCCAAACTGGTAGGCGTCTTAGGATTGTGCAGGCCAGAAGGACATACATACTTGGCTTGAAATATTGGTGAAGGTGGTATGAGCACTGGAAGAAGGCTTTTGTCAACAACTGGGCAATTCTGTGAGCCGCTACTGGAGCTGGGCTGGAAAGTGAGCGACTGAACGAGCTTTGATAGTAGGCCCCACCAAGTACTTATCTCTACTCTGCCAGTATAAGTACAATAATTGGAAAGTCTTGGAAAAGGGACTGTTAATATTTTTGGAAAAGCTTCCAATCCCTCCTGAGACAGAAACACGATCTTTCCAAATTGTGCCAACTCAAGCACTGTCGGCCTAAGCGCCAGCTCCTGAGTCACCTGCTCCCCCACACCTCCCTCACTTGGAGCTGGCTTAAATGCCACAAGCTTCAAAACCGAATAAAATGTCAGATGCTTTTCACTGACACATTTCTCACTATGTGGGACTTCTGAGGGTTGGACCTTCCAGCTTTCTCCATGGCTCTGAGGGCTCAGCAGTTTTTATTTTAATTTAACAGAGATTGACATATACTGAAATTCCAGGGAGTGTGCTTCATTTAAAATATCAACTATTGCCACAGCTTCAAGAAAAATAAACGGGAAGGTTGGCAGTAACTGTTGCCATCTCTGAGGGAGGCTGCTGTGCCAGGTGCCCTGGGGCAGGGTTGGGAAGCTCTAGCCTGGGAAAAACAAGCCTGTTGCTGAAGAGTGCATGTTGTAACTGTTACGAGTGACTGCCAGTGTAGCTCATGGGCAGATTTGAGACTCAGTTTATGGGAACTTGTCATCTGGCACAGGGAAGTTAGACCCTTCTTTCATGACACGCCAGAGATCAGCAAAAGCTTCTGTAAAGCAGATCAACCCAAAATAACAGCTACTAATGCAGCCAGTGTATTCATTACTAATGAGCTGAGAATAGTTGTTGAAGGTCGGAGATAATAAAGGGGAGGCCCTGACAAGGCCTCCCACTTGTAGTCACAGAATTTTTTCCTTCTGTACAGTTGCATTTCCCTTTCCAGGGAGGGAGATCTAGGGGATGCTACTGGTAGGTACCTAGCCTTGCTGGATGAAAGGCCATTCCCGGCCCTTGGTGCACTGGCATATGGCACCCATGAGGTACAGCTGCTGTTCATGCTGAAGAGAAACTCAAGTTGATTAGAAAGTCAAATTAACTGAATGTTTCCTCTCTCCACAGAAAATCACAGCACCCCTTATCTATGCTGTTTGCATTGCTGCCATTGGCTCTCTTCAGTTTGGATACAACACTGGTGTCATCAATGCACCTGAGAAGGTGAGAGGAAGAATGGGCTGGGGAGATGGTATGAGTGAGGGGCTGATGGGAAAACAGAGGTGTATGAAGGAGAGGAACTGTCATCCAAGCTAATAATTTGGTTCTGGTTTATGAAGTCAATAAGACATTTAAAGTCCCCTTTCAAATACAACAATGGACAGGAAGGCCAAACTTTTGGGGAGGAGAAAGAGCACACAGAGAGGTTAATTCTCCTAATTAGGAGCAAGGGGGGGGCAGGAGGGCTCCATCTGCCATATGTGGTATGTGGAGGAATGTGAGCAACTTCAATTTTGAGTCAGAATAAACCAGCCATGGCAGAAGGAATGTAACAAGCAGTGTGCAGAAAACAGTGGAGGGTTGGTAAGGATTGCCCTAGTTTAGTTTATTTCAGGTTTCTTTATTTTACTTGTTTATTCATTCCTTGTGTTAAGTATAGATTCAGTGCTTGCAAAAGAGTTATGACTTGGGCACTCTGACCAAATCATCTCATGACTGTAGCCTAAGAAAGGAGAGATGAAGAAAATGAGAGATGTGGTTTTCATGTAACTTTAAGATGGTTCCTCTCTCAAGAACTGAGTCACCAATACCACATCCACCCTGTCTCCGGGAAGAGATGTCACATCACCAGCCGGATGGGGGATGGGGGTCGGTCCTCCCTAGCTAATGTCCTGCTGCCATCTGCTGGGGGCAGACACTCTGTCCCCCCTAGCCCATGAAAAATTTCCCTCATTATCTAAGAGAATATCTTGGAAATTGGCGTCATGGCCCTGTTGAGTTGTTTTACATAATGCTGCTTTTCAGCCTTACGTCAGTGAAGCCTTGTGTCTCTTTTAACAATGTCCATACCAGAAAGCCCCTCCCTGCTGCCAGTGTTTTGGTATTGCCAGAAATGTCCCCTTCCATTCTGTTCCATTTCTTGTTCCCTTTCACTCCCAACTGTCTCACACCTTCTCCCAAGAACCACCAGTGACTCACCTAATCCAAAATACTCAGAAGATAAGCCTGTTTTCCCTAATAAACACTACTGTCTTGTGTGTATTCCACCTGCTCACTCTCAACCCCCAATTCAGTGAAGCAATCTCTCCCTCATCATGCGGTTTCCTCTTTCTGCACCCTCATCTTCCCCTTGTATAACTTGTTGCTGCTTGATGATTTTTTTTTTTTTGAGTGGGGGGTCTATTGTTTTCATGACAGCAAGAAAGACACAAGTCTCCCCTCTCCACAGTGCAAAATACCTCCTGGATTGTAACTGTCTCCACCTGATCTCTTGCAGATCATCCGGACGTTCTTCAACAAAACCCTGTCAGATAGGAGTGGGAGGGCTGTCTCCCAAGAGCTCCTCACCTCCCTGTGGTCCCTTTCTGTGGCCATCTTCTCAGTAGGAGGTATGATCGGCTCCTTCTCAGTCAGCCTGTTTGTCAACAGATTTGGCAGGTAAGTTGGGATGAGGGATACAATCTGTTAGGGTATTTTTCCTTTCTACAATGCAGTTTTGGGAGGAAGAGGGCAGAGGTGAGCGGAAGGGAGGAGGAGATGTCTGGGGAGGAAGCAAGAATGTGTGGGCTGCAAAAAGAAAGGAAGGGTTTCAGGTCAAGGCAGGAGCTGAATGGGTATTATTCTGTTCCCCCGCTGAGACAGGAGATCATGGTCAGGTTTATCCCCCTCCCAGTGATTTTCCTGTTGGCAGTTTAAGCTCAGTCTTAACATCTTTTCCTGGGCAGGAGGAACTCCATGCTATTGGTGAATGTCTTGGCTTTTGCTGGTGGCCTTCTCATGGCCTTCTCTAAGGCAGCAAAGGCAGTGGAGATGCTGATTATTGGCCGGTTCATTATTGGCGTCTTCTGTGGTCTCTGCACCGGCTTTGTGCCCATGTACATCAGTGAGGTCTCACCCACCAGTGTCCGTGGAGCCTTTGGCACCCTCAACCAGCTGGGCATTGTTGTGGGCATCCTGGTGGCTCAGGTAGGCTTGGCACAACCTGATCATACCCGTGGGGGAGGGAAAGGAGGGCTGGGGGAGGGTGAGGAGGGTTGTACTTGCCATCAGGTGCAGTATGTGGTCCTGTAATACTGGGGTGGGAGTGAGGAACTGAAGTGTTTAAATCACTCTGCTTTTTCTCTAATTCTTGGTGTAGATATTTGGCCTGGAGGGAATCATGGGGACTGAAGCACTTTGGCCACTGCTTCTGGGGTTCACTGTCCTCCCAGCAATCCTGCAGTGCGTGGGTCTTCTTTTCTGCCCTGAGAGCCCCCGTTTCCTATTGATCAACAAGATGGAAGAAGAGAAAGCACAAGCAGGTAAGAACTCATCTCGAAGGGGCAGGGCAGTGTTCTGGCTCCCAGCCTACACTGAGCTTGAGTGGGAGGCCAGGACTGACTCTGGAGCCTGTGGTGGATTAGGGTGTGACTCCCGGAGGGCATCAGGCCTGGCCTACCCTCCCATCCTTTAGGTTGCACCAATGCCAGAAAGCATGAGAAACCTGGCATCCCAACAGAGGCTCCAGGTGGGATTAAGACTTGAGGAGTGGCACCTGGCCTGGTGGGCAGTAGCAGGATGAGCTGCTGCCACTCTGCCATCTCCTTCTGAAAGGCAGGAAATAGGATGACATTTAACAAGGAGCTTGGAGGTCTGAGATCAGCTCTGGCAAGAGCATGAACAGAATTTGAGATCAAATATGAGCTTGGAGATTGATCAACATGAGTAGGGCCTGTGCCTGATTTCCATGTTGATCACAACACCCTGACCTGGGTTGAAAAGATGAGCAAGGCTGCATGTAGAGGCTTGGTCTTTCCCGTATAACAGGCCCAAACACCAGCTGGCAGGTGTTCCACTCTTCCTGCTGTGCCCTTCCTGAAATAGCAGGGCAGGATACACACACGCACCCGTGGCTGGCAGGTCTGTGTATTATGCCTGACATTTTTTGATTCCTCCCTCCAGTTCTCCAGAAGCTCCGTGGTACACAAGATGTGTCTCAAGACATCCAGGAGATGAAAGAAGAAAGTGCTAAAATGTCCCAAGAAAAAAAAGCCACTGTGCCAGAGCTCTTCCGTTCTCCAAACTATCGTCAAGCCATTATCATTGCCATCATGCTGCAGCTCTCCCAACAGCTCTCAGGCATCAATGCTGTGAGTTATCTTTCTGTCCCATCTGCTGGGCCTCCCTTATCATGGCTAAACTTGCACTTGCCACTGATGCAGAGAGAACTGTACTTCCAAAAACCTCTTTGTGCCTTGACTGGAGGTCACTGTTGTATGATATGGCAAAGATGGCTGAGATGGAAGGTGGATATTGTGTTGGCTTTCACTTTTCCCACGCACACTGTGGCAGGACACTGCAGCCTTGCACCAAGTGAATGAACCGTGACTGGAACTGTGGAGTGCAGCTTAGAAACTCCCTGTTGGGGTGTGCAAGCCAATTAGGCAGAGAATGAGGGACATGCTCTCAAACATGGGATCATGACTGTGTCCAACTTTTGCTTCTCTTCCCAGGTATTCTATTATTCAACTGGGATTTTTGAAAGAGCTGGTATCAAACAGCCTGTGTATGCCACCATTGGAGCTGGCGTGGTGAACACGGTCTTCACTGTTGTGTCGGTGAGTGGAAGGAGGCCTGGGCCTCTTTAAGAGATGTGACTAAAGACGAGTAGCCTGTGGCTGTGGCAAAGCTAGGCAATGACCTGTAGGAGCAAAGAAAAGAATTAATCAAAGGCATTTGTGGGAGGAGAGGTGGGCAGAAAGAGGTACTGTTTTCCTAGATGAAAAGAAAGGTGAAAAAGGAGTGCATGGGGGAAAAGTGATGAGAGAAAGCAGCAGCAAGAACCAGAGTGGAAAAACTTGTGCTGAGGATGGAGTAGTCTGGTGACCTGCACTGAGATCACCACTGTCACTGAGGGTTACAGGCAGATGAGAAAAGAGGTGCAGGACACACTGAGCGAGGGAGCCTGTCATGCTTTTGCTACCAAAGTAATGGATTTTTCTTCTAACCTTTTTCCAGCTCTTCCTGGTGGAGCGTGCAGGGCGCAGGACCCTCCATTTAGTTGGTTTGGCTGGCATGGCTGTGTGTGCCGCTGTTATGACTGTTGCTTTGGCTCTGAAGGTGAGTAAATAGTGTTCTTATTCATGGTGACCCCAGCAGGAGACCTATAAGACTTTACATCTGCAGTGCTGTCCTGTAGGGCAGGTAGAGCTGGGGCTATACATGAGTGTGCAGTAGGGAGTGCGATTTTCTAACTCTGGAAACTGCTAGTGTTCACAGTGCAGCTGAGAAAGTTGTGACACTGGAGTTGGCATTGTGCTGTGCCATGTTTGCCTCAAACTGCAGCTGATTGTATTTTGTCCCCTTGCAGGACATTTTGGAATGGATCAAATATATCAGCATTGTTGCCACTTTTGGCTTTGTGGCTCTTTTTGAGATTGGCCCTGGCCCTATCCCATGGTTCATTGTGGCAGAACTCTTCAGCCAGGGCCCACGGCCTGCAGCCATGGCAGTGGCTGGGTGTTCCAATTGGACCTCCAATTTCTTGGTGGGAATGCTCTTCCCTTATGCAGAGGTAAGTCCTCGTTTATAAAGCACTGTGAGAGCACTGCAGCATTGGAATAGGTGTCCAGAAAGGCTGTAGAATCTCCATGGAGACTTCCAGCACATGACACCTTTAATAACCTGACCTCTCCTGGAAGCTGTCAGTGCTTTGAGCAGAGGGCTGGTGAATCTTCCGGAGGTCCCTGAGTCAGTCTTAGGATTGTTACTGAAGTGCTGTTGCTCACCTTATATTCTGGTGTCTCAAGTGCTTGAAGCTTGCAAATAGTTGAAAGAGCCATCTCAGTTAGCACATCAAGGCTTTCCCTTTAAAAGCCTCAATTTTGGTCACCCCTAGGAATATCAAAGTCTTTCAGAAGCCCACAGGAACCTGATTTAATTTTAAAAAACATTGATGAGAAGAAGGGCATTGTTGGAGAAATGTGTTGGAATTTTGACCTGTCAATGGCAAATGACCTTGCATTTAGATTTATTTTCAAATCAAAATCTTCTGCTTTTGTCCTCCCTGCAGAAACTGTGTGGCTCCTATGTCTTCCTCATCTTCCTCGTTTTCCTGGTCATCTTCTTTGTCTTCACATTCTTCAAAGTGCCGGAGACGAAGGGCAGGACTTTTGAAGACATCTCCAGGGGCTTTGAAGGACGAGCAGCATCCAACCCTACATCCCCTTTAGAGAAGAACCCCATGGTGGAGCTGAACAGCATACAACCTAACAAACAAGTTGCCTAAGATTCGTGAAACACCCATTCTTCAACTCTCACATGCCTAAAGAGTCATTAAAGGAATGAGCAAAGAAAACCATGAGAACTGGGACATTTTTCCCCTTCTCAATTGCTGCTATTTTCTTCTTTTCACCCACATGCTTGCCCATTGTGCCAGGCTTACCAGCATTAAGCGAATCTGATATGGGTGGTCTGCCATACTGGAAAGCACCTGGCACTTGCAAAAATAATCTCATCTTTCCTGTCAAACACCAGGAGAACAGAGAAGAGCTGGCAATGTTTTTTGCTTTCCTCACATCAAATTGCCATTTGGGGTTGACATACTTATGCACACAGTGACCATTATGAATTTGAATTACTATTTTTGTAGTGAGTTAAAGTGACCTGCTAAACAAGTCCCCAGCCCTTTGAGTCTATCTTGTGTGCGTGTGTACAGTGTTACACTGGAATTTAGCAAGCCTACCAAAAAGCCAGGTTGCTTTTTCCTATCCAGTGTTCACTTTTTTTAGCCTCAGGTAAAAGGGGACCAAGTCACATGCATATTTTTCCTGCTCTTTTATTTTCTTTTGTATAGACAAACTGAAAGCATACTTTTACTTCAGTTTATTTATTTGTATGTCACTTTGTAAATATTTATTTTTTTAATGGTGTACAAAAATGTACAGATAAAGAAATTGAGGAAGTTTAAGAGAAATAGCTATTCTAACAAAAGATGCTGTAGACTTGAGGCGCAATAAGGACTGTAAAGGAGGAATGTGGTACTAAAAAAGAGATCATTTTGGGTGGTATGTACAACAGAGCCAATTATGCACATTACCTTAAAGTTATTTGTGCCCTCTGGAAAGTAATTCAAGGAATTGTGTACTTGTGAGAAGAGGTATGTTTCTCCACCAAAATCTCTGTTATTAGGGATTTTTTGGTGGCTATTTTAAATAACTGTTCCCAAGTATTCATTAGGAAGTGATATTGGAGCTTACAATGGGCGTTGTTAGATTATATTTTCAGACATGGTTTTAAGCGTTCTATGGATGATTGAGGGTGGTGATTGCTAATCAGAAAATAACTTTTCCTGCCTTCTCTTGATTTTCTTTTTGGCTTTTCTGTTGTATTCTAATAGGTCATAAAGTCTGAAATTTGCAGATTGTTACTTAAAGGCGTGCAAGGACAAAAATTATTTTTCAAAGCTATATTTTCTTAGCAATTGTTCCTATAAATATTACAGAGGCATGTAGCATGACCCTTCTGGACACAGGCATGGTCAGTTATGGTACATGTAAGTTCATAAAGGTAGACATGCAGGACTAGAGAACAGAGCTACTGGAAGTTGCTACTTTAGCAGTATGAAAGGTCTGTAGTGCTCAGTCCCCTGCTTGGTTGCAGGCCTAATGTTTTTGCCCCATGTATCCTCCCTGGAATATCTGCATGATGATGTGGTGCTCACCAGTGTGCTGGGTAGGTGTGTACAGCTCTATAATAGTGCCTCTGTTAAAAGGCAGACAGTAATTGTACATCAGAAAAAGTTGGTATCCCCACTTGTCATACTGCTGGGCAGTTTAGAGTGTGTGTGCATGCACTCTGGCTAGCACAGTTCAGGTAGGCAAAAAGTAGCAGGTAGGTTATACTTGCAGTCAAGGGATGGGAGCTTTACTTTCGTGACTGCACTGCTCTGTCAAGGGACTCCAGGCCTGCACAAGCTGTCTAAAGGTAGCACAGAGGTAAGTCCAATTTAAACTCCTGCTCTAAGATGAAGTCGGCATCTAGTCTGTGATTTTGGACTTGGCCAAACTCAGGTCTACCTGCTGGAATCCATTACTGGATTTGCTAGAAGAGAGAGAGGCAAGCTCACGGAGTCCAAGTTGGGTAAAAGGAGGAAAGGCTCAGAAAGGTAGGAAGGACAGCAAGACTTTTGTAGCATAGATATCCCAAGCTTTCTTACCAACATAATGCTTCAGAACAGATTAGAGAAGTTCCCATTGATGTATATTCTGGGGGGTCTGTCTGATGTTTTCAGTAACTAGTGATGACGTTTCTACCTTCCCTAATGTGATACAGTTGCAGAGATCAGTTAAATTTGCTGCTGTGAATTAATTTGAAATACCCCAGCTTTGCACAATGCAATTGTATTACATCCAGTTTTACCTAGCTTTTTATCAGGCTTACATGCCAGATATTTATTCTCAGAAGTATTATATAAGACTTCTTTCCCAACTTTGACATTTTGACTCAGTTACACAGATTTCTGTGCCCTTCCTTTGACCTTCCAGCACGTCCAGACATGATATTTCTATATGGGGTATCTGTATGTTAGGAAATTACCCCTATGGCTGTGCATAAGAGCATTCCATACTTTGCATCAGATGTGTGTTGGCTTGGACCGAAATGTGTAGGCCTTTCTCACATGGTATCTCTTTGTTGTTTTCTTTTTCTGTAACAGCGTTGTGAATATTTTGGATGGATTTTTTATGCTTATTAATGTGGTTGTTTCCTGGTTTTGAAATAAAAAATATTAAATAAGTGTCTGATTTGGATTTTGCCTTTACCTTGTAGGTCTTCTGTTTCTTATTCCTTTATCACAGCCTGGGACTATACCCTAAAATGTTACCAGCATCAACCCTGCAACCTTTTTGGCTAGCTCAGCACTCTTTGCTGTTTTAGTCTAGTGGAGATGGTAATTCCTCTTAGCCTCCATGCAAATCACCTTTAATTCCCTTACTGTTACTCCTTAGGAGTTTTTAAACTAAAAAGGTGTGCATCTCTGCTTCCTGTTTACCCAAATCCTTTTGTTTGCCTACAAATGCTTTCCCACAGTGTTTCTCAGTAACAGGGAGAGGGATGTTGTTGGAGGTTATGAATTCTGTCCCAAGATAAAGTACCTGAGATTTCTGCCCCTGCTCTCTTCTTGCTGTGGTTCTCAACTTCTGTGCCAGGAGGGTGAAGAAGGGGCCCTTTTTCCTGTAGCTGATGCTTTGCTCTCTCTGTCTGGCAAGTGACCTTTATGTCCTCCTCTGACATCATGCCTGTGTGCACTAGTACTGGGTGTCTGAAAGGAGCAGTGTTGTGAAGAGAAATCCCCACTGCCCACAGAGCAAGCCAGTTCCCAGGAGCTGATCCTACAGCTCAGGGACTGTGGTATTCTTTGGCCCACTATTGGGTCTGGACTGCTCTCACCCATGGCTCTCTTGCCTAGGGAATACGGGGCACCCACCTATTCTCAGGTTCTCCTTTTCCTGCCCTACAGCTATCAAGTCTGAGAAGTCAATGCTTGTGTTTTTGGCAGAAACTATAAGAACAGTTCATCATAAAAAAGTGGAAATAAAATATCCTTTAGAGGAGGATGGACTGAAGTTAGAGGAAGGAAAAGATGACAGAACCCAGTGTACCCTAGAGCAGGATTCTGGCTAATATAGCTCCAGAGTCAGCAGGCTGCAATGAGGAAACAGTAGGGAATAATGTAAAGTCTGAAAAAGCTCAGCGTAACAGAGATCCAGTATAGACTTTCTGAAGCCTGACGTTACTGGCTGCTGCATGCTCCTGGCCTGTGTTTTGCTAAGTTTGGTATGCAACCAGCCTTGGAGCTGGGGAGTGCTCTGGGCTAATCTGTCTAGGATTGTTTTTCAATTCTAGCTGAGCTAAAAAAATAAAGCCCAGCCATCCAAACTCATAAGCATATCTAGCTCAAACTTAACTCTTAACATTTTGGTTTTCTTTGTCAAAATAGGAAGCAAAGAGCAAATTCACTTGGGGCCAAAGCATGTGATTCACTGAGCTCTAAATTAATGTTTTGTGTAGTTTTTGTGATAAATGAGGCTTTGTTTTAGATCTGGTTAATTCTGAAAATTGTAAGGAAGCTTCAAAAGGAAAACCTGTTTGCAATTAAATGGTTTGAATGTGTGAAGATGGGTTGTTTTCAGTTGAAACTGTTCATCACATCCAAGGGAGCATGTAGGCAGTTCTTGCGGCCTCCACAATCCCCCACAGAAATGAGTCACTGGAGAACCCTTCAAAGAGTGAAACTACTGCTGAGTTGACAAGAGAAGGCCCCCAAAGGTCACAAGTGACATCAGCCATGTCAAACGTTTCAGTGCTGTTTTACAGGCTAGAGCATGATAGAGTGTCACAGCATCACTGACAATATTTGTCACTTTTTGCTTGTGCTATTTGTGATGAACATATTTGTGTACCAGGCAAAAATAGCAGTTTATTTCTGTGAGAAGCAATGCGGGGGGAGAAAAAAAAAAAGAACAAACCCCACATTTTATTGGAGGTAGATTTCACTAATGCATGCCCTGTGCACAAATCTTTATATTTGATTTTGTGCTCTAAAAAGAGCACATTTGAGTTCCAGACATTTCAGGAGCTGGGGCTGCTTCTCCCTTGGGAACATATCTGGATGAGAGCCCAAGCAGAACTGCAGTCTTACCTCCAAGCAAAGTTTCTAAGCCTTTCTTTGAGGGCTCCTCCAAGAAGGAACATTTGCTAGTTTGGTGGGGGACTGTGCCATCATAGGTTTCATTTGAGAGGAAGGAAGGTGTGGACACACCGCTAATGCCATTATGATGGGCTGTGATGGAGCAGCAGCAGGAGGTGACTCAGTACAATGTTTTCTCATGCTGTATACATCATGAGAAAGATCCTGACAGCAGGTAAATCAAACACGCAGTTTGCTGCACAGAAAACTTACGTGTCCTTGGCTTTTTTTCAAGCTTTCTATAGACAGGACCAAGGATGCATTTCTAATGTTTTCTGTACTTATAGAAGGATTCTTTGAAGACATGAGAGATGCTTTCTGGAAATGGGGTACACGTCTGTGGTCTGTCACTTATGCTTTAGCCTGGCTCTGTCCTTACACTGTGAGTTACCAGACAAAAGGCAGTTGTCTTCATAGCATGCTGCTGTGAAAGACATCACTCAGGCTGTCTTAGACGAGGAAAGAAAATCATACTGTTTCCTAAAATATATATCGCTAAGGGAATTTAATAGGTGTTACTTGAAAGTATGCCATTTCTAGTGGAGACAGGCTGTGTAACTTCTAAAATAATTCATTTGCTGTGATAAATCTTGTTTCTATGCTATATCTCA